GGTTTAGAGCTGTTGTGCATAGGGTTGCTATGAGTCGGAAACGACTCGATGGCACATAACAACAACAACAACATAATTAGAGAAGGAATTGTGAATACACATTTGAGACACTCTTAATAGAACTAAATCCTTATTAAAAAAATTAGCATGTTATAGGGTGCTGTAGGCTTTAAAACAAGGAAATTATTAGAAAGGGTTGAATAAATAATGAAGAAACTGCTGAAAGTGTACAAAATGTTTTTTAAGCCTGTAGAATTGACAGCTTGGGAAACGGAGGGTAATAGAGTCTGTCATTATAAGGCTCATAAGTGTTTTAAAGCTGTACGTAATGTATTGCTGTAATGAAGTAACAATTTTTAAACCTCAGAACTAAGATTTTAGACCTAAAATGTGAGTTCTGACTTCAGAGACAGATTTCTGTGCAAGGGATTGTTGTTACTGTGTGTGGTCCAGTTGAACCAGCTCATAGCCTGAAACTCCAGTGGGTTTTCAGATGTAGTAAATCACATAGAAGGAAGATTGCCTATCTTTCTCCTACAAAGTTCAAATCACTGGATTTGAACTGCATGCTTTTGGGTTGACAGCGAAATTCACAAGGCCAGTAGAGCTCCTTATCCAAGAGGTAGTAGTAGTACACATTTTATCAAAGTTTAGTGCATAATTCCAGTATCTTTTAAAATAAATAACTCCAGTATTTTCTCCTATAAATGGACTTTGTCAAGCTTTCTTTTAATCCTCAAATAGTACTATATAAATATTGAACTAAAGCATATATGCTCTGTTGTTCCGGTAAATTTGTATTACTAAATTATTTTGGCAAGCCCGTAATTCTCATTATTCTATGAAGTTTGTTAAAAATGAACTCAATTGGGTAGAATATAATAGACCCCATGTCATACTGAAATGTTTCTAAAATAGTCCAAGTTAAACTGTGTCTTTGATTTATAATAATTGAGTGAGATCCAATTAGGGGCAAGTTCTCTTGAATTTTAGATTGTTATTTTTTTTTTATCATGTACTCTTAGTGCTGATAAGGACCTTTGATATCGTCTTTCAGTTCCTCATTTTGCATGTAAAAATGGTTTATGTGTATTGGCTAGGGTCAAGCAGAGACTTGTATTGTGAGAATCTTTATTCAGCTTGCTGCCTTCACTGTTAGACATTTAAGCAAGAAAACCCACTTTTTTCCTACACTAAAGAATTAAAATTTTCTGAAAAGACATAATTTTATAAGATAGATAAAGTAGATTATGTATTTATAAAATTTGTAAGTTTATAGATTGTCACTATTAACTACTAAATCAGTGGTTCTGAAAGACCCGAAAATATATCTTTAATAACTTAAGGGTTTGTTTTAGTTTTCCCAAATAAAAAAAGTATGTGCTACGCATTAGAATGTCATTCAGTCTATGTCCGTTTTACTATTTTTTAAATTTGAGCAGCATAATACTTTGGTATTTACTGTTTTAGTTCTCGTAACACTTTGACCATGCTGAAAACATGGTAGAGCTTTAAAAAGTGCTAAATTTTTTTTTTAAAGTGCTAAATTTATCTTGTCTACTCCTTGTTAGCTTATTTTGAGAGTTAATAAGTGAATGTATAATATTTTAGATTTTGGGGTTTTTTTTTATGTTTAATATCTGAGGTACTCCTGTCAGTAAACATTGGAGAAGTGAAATCTGCAGAGAGCAATAACTAATCCTAGAGCATAAGTAATTTTTAAAACTTTTGAGTGTTAAATATTTAGAACACTACATTTTAAGTAAGTTGTCATTTGCATCTGTAGTTACCATCAAGTATTGTTTTAGGAACCAGTAAGGAATTTTTAAATTAATGACTAGAAACCATGGGTTCATTTTTTCCCTTTACACAGGCCTTCTGGTGATGTTCTTGAGACATTCAATTTCTTAGAAAATGCTGATGACAGTGATGAAGATGAGGAAAATGACATGATTGAAGGCATCCCAGAAGGAAAAGACAAACATCGGATGAATAAACACAAAGTAGAAATTTGTTTTTTTATTTTCATTAGTTAGTGTAATACATACATTACACACGCACTCTTTCTTTCATGTATTTCAAATAAGTGAAAATTTTACAATAGGAATTTTTGAGACCTATTGAATGACATGGAGTAGTGATTGGTTTTTATTTTGGGATGGTTTTATGTAGTCAGCTTTTACTGTATTATTAACATACACCCACTTCACCTATAACTCAAAGTTACTGGGGAACACCTTGTCTTTATGGACAGGGATGTTGTGGAGTGCCGTTGAATTGAAACCAACTCACAGCTGACCCTCCAGCTGGTTTCAGAGGCAGTAAGTCATATGGGAGGAGATTCCTTCTCCTTCTCCCACAGGGCACCTGGTGGATTCAAACTGCCTGCCTTTGCCATTGCAGCACAATTTCTTACAACTAGGCCACCAGAGCTCCCTTTATGAACAATATCCAAGTGATAAAATTAACTGATGCTGCAGTGGAGATAGTATGACACTGAGAGGCAAAGTAATATATGGATTATGACTGTATGTTTTAATCTCATTTGTTGTGTAGATCAGTGAAAATTTACTTTTGTTTGTAATGTAAATTGGTTTATCTGTTTTACTAGTGATGGGGTTTGCTATAACCACAAAAGTAGAATAAATGATTAATTTTTCATTAATTTTTTTTATGAGTTTGAGTATGTAAAGGGGGATAGGCTCTTTGTGGTTCTTTGGGATCTTACAATGAAAAACTATCAGTGTTCCTTAAAAGTTTCCAGTCTGTATAACAGTTTTCAACTTTTCTGTCTTAATTTCATATACTTAACATAGTCAATTGAGCCAATAGAGATAATTGATTCTTTCTTAACCTTTTGGTTTGATATTATTAAAATTATGACTAACCTTCAATTAGTTTCTCTCTTTGTTAGTTTTATTGTCATTAGTCTTTAGTGTCATATCCTTACTACCTAGTCCATGTATACAGGCCAAATATGTTGTCCCTCAATGTGTGAATTCCATTTAAGACTGCATAGCAGAATGGAAATGAGCAAATGGGACTTTAATGGGTTTAACTGTGAATCTAATATAACTAAGGTTTAACTGTGAATCTAATATAACTAATAAAAAAGTACTAGATATTCTTTGTGATTAGTTTTTTTGACCACTTTTATTTAATACCTTATAGCTTGGCCTGACATTGTTGAGAAAAACCTAACTAGAGTATACTGCAGTAAATAGATTTGCCAACTGTGTGGAAAATATAAAATTTTATGCCCAAAGAATTTATTTTAAAAGTGTATAAATATCAGAATAATTGTGTGATGACATTGAAAGATCCCTTTAAAATTAGGATGGATGATTAGACATTGTATGTATGGCAGTTGTCAATCTGGAATAAGGCATGCATTACAAAGTTAAATGGATAAGAGGAGTAAGGAGGAAAAGGTGTATAAGTGAATTAATGAAAACCTATCGTTTCTGTAAACTTTTACTAAAATAAAAACAAAATTTAAGTTGTAATTCCTGATTTATGGCTAATTTGCAGATAGGTAATGAAGGTTTAGCTGCTGACCTCACAGATGACCCTGATACTGAAGAAGCATTGAAAGAATTTGATTTTTTGGTGACTGCAGAAGATGGTGAAGGAGCTGGAGAAGCACGGAGTTCAGGAGATGGCACAGAATGGGGTAAGGTGATAAAGAAATATTGACATGTAGAGTAGGAACCTAATCCTTTTAGAGAAGTTATTTAATATTTTATGTGGAATGTGTATCTGAATATATGGTAGCAGTTAAACAGAACAAGGGGAGTGGTATGGAATTTAAGTTTTAGGATATATTAGCTAACCGTATATGTGGATTTAAAAAAATTGATTTAGAAATTCAGGTTTTCCTCAGTATATTTTTTCTCTTTAAAAATAAAGTGTCTATTCCATTTTAAACAGTCTCATTAATTTGGGACTAGATCTGGGTTTCAGGAAGACTTTAACTCGTAAAATAGGCCTACATGTTGTTAAATGATTTATTTCTAGAATGTGTAAACTCCTAATCCAGAATTAAATACGGAAAAAGATTTAATAAACATTAAGCTTTATTGCATATAATATTTAGTATGGAGATGTTAGAGCCTAGTCTTTGGAAATGATTTGTAATGTGATTGTTCTTGTTATGTCCCAACAAGTCAGAACTGACTTAATGGTGACCCATTAGAAGGTTTTCAGTGGCATTAAATAGTGTGATAGGAGATTGTGCGTCTTTCTCCTGTGTTGCTGCTGGTGGATTCAAACTGCGTGTTTTTGGATTAGTAGCACATCTCCTTACCACTAGGCCACCAGTCCTCCATATGTAATATGATTAGAAAGTAAATATGTAGAAATTTGAAAATGGCCAAGGTATATCTACTATGTTACTCCTATTATTAACTCCTTTGTGATAGGAAACACCTTTGGGTAAGAAATACTTCTTTTGTATATAAAAAATGTAATTTTGCTAATAGCAAGAAAAGTAAAAGTATATTCTCTTGATACGAAAAGGAGTTAAATGCTTAATAGAGCTGAATATTATTACCAGTTTATCATTATTATATTAAAGTTTTGTTTTTAGACTTCTAGTATTCTGTAAATGCAAAGCAGGTTATGTTGTTGTTGTTCTTGTTGTTATGTGGCGTCGAGTCGTTTGCAACTCATAGCAACCCTATGTATAACAGCCCTAAACCCTGCTCTATCCTGTGCCAATCACATTGCCTCTGACACACCCATTCCCGGTTACCCCAGTCACTGAATCAATCCACTGCATAGAGGGTCTTCGCCTCCTGTGTTGTCCCTCCACCCTACCAAGCATGATGTCCCTCTCCAAGGACCTGTCTCTCCTTAGAAAATGTCCAAAGTATGTCAGGCGAAGCCCCAGAATCCTTGCCTCCAAGGAGTAGCCTGGTTAGAACCCTCTCCAGGATGAATTTGATTGTGGTTTGTTTTTTTTTTTTTTTTTTGGCACTCCATGGTGCATTCAATACTCTTCTCCAGCACAGCAGCTCAAAGGCTTCAATTCCCCTTCTATCCTCCCTAGTCATTGTCCA